AGTCTCTTTGATTTTTTTTACTATAACCCAGAAATCCGAATTATGACATAAACATCTGATTTTACAAGATTGGCTAACTCAACACTTAAAATCCTTCCTGCAGACCAACAGAATAGCTTTGTGGGTTGGATACAGCCTGTGAGCTTTGGTCCTTAGAAATAGAGAGAACTTTAGTGGCCAGGAAAACAGAAGCATAGGATTTGAATAAAAGCACAATAGCAATTTTTAAAATATATTTTATTGATTTTTCCACAGAGAGGAGGGGAGAGGGATAGAGAGCTAGAAACATCGACGAGAGAGAAACATCGATCAGCTGCCTCCTGCACCTCTCCCACTGGGAAAGTGCCCGCAACCCAAGTACATGCCCCTGACTGGAATCGAACCCGGGACCTTTCAGTCCGCAGGCCGACGCTCCATCCACTGAGCCAAACCGGTTTCGGCAATATTCAATATCTTTAATAAATACTATAAAAATGCATGGTCAACAAGCAATGTGTCTTTATATTGGGATTAAAAAACTTAGTTCATAGATGTTAAGAACTAAAGCATGATGTGTGAATCAGACACATCTTAATTATAAAATATAGATGGTAAAAAAGCAACTTGCTGAATGTTCAGAGTCTTTTTTAAAACAGAATAAATGTTATACACCTATACATATAACAGGGATGGATAAATTAGATGAATGTGCAGAGTAGAAATAAGAATTGTCTAAAAATAATATTTCACAATCTTCTCTCAAAATAAGACCAGCAGGTCTTCAGGCCAATCAACTGTGATATACTGGGGATGAAGAGTGATGCATTGTACAACTTCCAACTGTTCTACATATTTAACAGAAAGGTCACACTGATACATTAAATGCTGAAGGTAAGAGAACCATTCTACTACTAGAGGGGTTTACCAGCACTAAGAACGGTATGGACTACCTTTTTTTGCTGTTAATTATGGTCATGGTGTTCTCTGTGATCAAGGTACACATTCTAAGTCATGAGATGTGGGGTCATCTTGGCTGACTCCATACAGGGTCATGAGGCAAGGCTCGGGCACCTATGGGAGAGCCTAGGTGAGGTCATGCTGCAGCCACTTTACTGGACCTGCACACAGCCAGCCCATTCATAGGTAGGGACGGGCCGACTGAGGAGCTACCTGGGTGCTATGAAGGGAGGCCCAGAGCGCCACACAGAACCTCATTCCTGAAAGGACCACAGAGCAGTAGAGATTACCAAGCCACCTTAGTGGACAGAGGATGAACAGGAAGGTTAAGGCAAGAGCCCACTGAAGAGGGGCACAAACAATGAGATGCTGGCAATACTTCTGGGTCTTTCAACAGACTTGGACCCTTTTAAACCAGGTTTTAATAGCATTCCCTTTATGTGAGTCAAAATGATAGCAGCTCTGAAAATCACTAGTTATAATAGCAACTCTGTACCTTAAAAATGTGGTGGTCTACATCTTAAACATCTAATATTGAGGAATGGTTATTACAGCATATCCATAATATATTACTGTATTACAATTTTATTTCTAGAATATTTAAAGATAATATAATGTTTAAATAAGCAAGTTAGAAAACTGTATATATAATTTGCTCCTAATTTTTAAAAAATGATCCATATTTGGAAAACTGAAAAGAAGTAGTTAGCCCAACTGTGAAAAGTTATATTTCAGTGGTTGAAATAACTTATTTTGTTCTTTGTGATTTTCTGTATAGTCTGTATTTTCTATAATAAATAGATATTACTTATGCAAAAAATAATTATACATTTAAAAAGTGACAATTTGCAGTTTTAGAAAACATATAACCTAACCTTTACATATTAATCTTCAAAAAATTCAACCTAGTAAAGTGATCCTTTTGAATCACTTATGTTTTATTATATAATTAGACTCATTTTATTTTAATTAATAAATGTAATTTAGCCATTCAGTTACAGGCCAAAGAAGGCATTTTTAGGCTCACTGGGATGAGTTATTACAACAAATCTGGCAGGAGAGACAAGTTGAGAATGAAAGAAAATAAATACACTTGCCCTGTCCTCTACAACCTGATAATTATGACCAAGACATGGCCTTTTTAATGAGCCAATATTGTTTAAATACAATATTTCCAGAGTGTTTGAATATGTATGTCCTTCCCTATAGCTCTATGAAGAAATCAGTATTCTCAGAAACGAAGTAATATTGTTCATATGATCAGAGAAAGAGACTAGAAAGTATGTAGACATTATGTGGTTTAACCTCAGATTCAGAAATGAGACAACAAAAATGAGTGAGATTCTTCAGTTATGAACTGTAATTATCACTGATATATTCCATCCTTTATCTCATCTGATAATACCTTTTACCTATATTTTTATTTGTGGTCATTTCCATATCTATGAAGCATTTTACTTCAAAGCAAAACAAGAGTATCAAATTCACCTTATTTTATGGTAAACTCTTATAGTATGAATGTTCAAAAAATTGAGCAATATGGTTAATGACCAAAATAAATCAATATTGTTCCTATTTAAAACTGATACAACTTTAACTAAGTAGTTCTTAACCTTGACTAGAATCACTTGAAGAGTTTGTAAAAATTCCAATGCTGAGAGGCTGTGCCCCCAACCAATTAAATTATAATCTTCAGGGAAAAAACTCCAGCATCAGAATGTTTTAAAGCTTGCTAGGTGATTCTAACAGAGTCATTGCTTTAGATGAGAAAGGATATTAAGGGAATATGGTGACCTACCGCTTTCTATTTTGAACAAACAACCTAAAGGTTTGTATCAGAGCCATTTCATCACCAAGACATTTAGGAAATGCTAAACAAGGAAAGTACAGGCAGAGGACAGAGAGGTCATAAATGCCTGGGCTGCTGCGATGGTTTTCCTGATATTTTGTGTGGTATGTAGACGATGGAAGCAAGGTGACTTCAGAGCTGGGTACCAGTGAAGGAAAAGAATGGCCTTTGGCAGCAGCTATACCTATTTTGTTGACTGTAAAACATCTGCCACAGAATCTAAATAGTTCTGTTATGCTTTGAGGGGTTACTCACGATAAGTCATATTGTGGTTGGTACAAATGTCTATCAGTTGCTTGACAAGTACAGCAGGTCCTTGAATAATGTCAATTTGTTCAAAGTCATTTCCTTATCATCTTGATGGGTGCCTGAGGAACTTAACTCCTGTTTATATCAATTAGCCTATGGTTAGATTGGTTTTGTCATACGTTGTTTCACTTATAGCTGACGTTAAGTGAGGACATACTGTACAGGATCACCTGCTACATGTATGCGCTCAGGTATTCCTCAATCAGTGAGTCATGGGAAATTCAAGGGTGGGGATTATTACTGAATAAGCAGAGAATCTAAAAATCTGAAGGACTTCTAGTCGCTATAAAGATAGCTGTGAGCGGCAGCTGGCACTCTAACTTGAATATTGTTCTCCCCTGGCAGGTGGCCACTGCTGAGATCCTCTGGAAGGAAATCAAAATCCTAACAGGAGTGGAAAATCACTGGTATCAAGAGCCTTTGGAAACCTTAAATTTGTGTTTATTTCTGGGCTCTATTTTTCCTGCTGCTGGCCCATTTCTTGCTACGTGTTCTCTAGCTCACCCAAATCTTGTGCAATAAAATGAGTACCTTCATTGCAAACTGGAGAAACAAGTGAATCTGACAATTTATTACATTTATCCCTCATTCCATGATCCTAGATGTATCCTTTAAATTGTACCTCAAGAGCCTCTGTAGTAATTTAACCTTATTATTGTTCAAATGCAACGTCCTTTATTCCTTATCTGCCTTATTTTAATTAGGGAAACCATAAACTCCCTAGGTTCTTAATAAATCATAAGACGATTTGGTATAGGTAGAATTGGGTTTCAAAATAACTTACTCTTTTTGTTACGCAAAACTGGCTCACCTCCAAAAGCTTTCTAGGTTCAAGGTAAATTCCTGCCAATACATTAATTATTATAGTAATTTAAGTAATGGTATGATGTTAATGTCCACTCAGTGTTTATTTCCATGACCATTCTGTTTCATAAAGTGAATAAGAATGCAAGTAAATATGCTTTCACAACATTTTTTTGTACCCATCACAATGGGTACAGAAACAGTTGGGACTAACATATGTTACTCTCTGAAATGAAGATCCCTGTATGCCTTAACAAGATGAGTCATATTCCTTTCAGCAAAGTCAGAAAATGTAGCCTGATTCCTGTTCTCCCATTTCACTTATGTTCTCGGGAAAAGCTAAGTAAATCACCAACCTGCCACTTCAAGATGCTCAGGCCACCAAAAACTAAATGAAGATAATGTATTAAACTAGTCAAGGAAAACCTGTATTTTTTTTAAAGAAATCATCTTTCTAACAAATTAGATATTGCTAAAGGGAGAAGAAGGGTAGGGAAGAGGCCTCGTCCTTTAAAAAGATAATTATTAATGCTCATTACCTTATACCAGACCAAAGTGAACTGAAAATCAGACAGCATAAGCTATATTTGCCCCCAACACCTAGAGAGTCTTATGTAGGGTGTCTCCCAAAAATGTATACATGTACTTTGAATAATTATGAAGGCAGTGTTTATTAAAATACATTTCATTTTCAAAACTGAGCTATCAACTGTTAAAGTGTATATACATTTTTTGGATACCCTTTATACTGCCAAATTAAAATGTAGTACTCTTCTCCATCATAGCACTGAAACCGTAAGTCATGTTGGTCCCTCGTTTCCCCAAGATCATTTTAACCACATATTTCAAAAATTCAAAGAAGTGATATTTTTACTTTAGATAACTTGGTTATGCAGATCCTACAAATACTTCCAGGGATCATAACTTAAGATTACAAGCCTACAGAAAAGGGAAATTTAATAGCATACTGACTGATATCAAATTATAGTACAAGGCTATAGTAATCAAAATAGCATGGCACTATCATAAAACCAGACACATAGATCAATGGAACAGAAGAGAGCCCAGAAATAAACCCAAACCCATTTGGTCACTTCATCTATGACAAAGGAGGTAAGAACATGCAATAGGGTAAAGACAGTCTGTTCAATGGATGCTCTTAGGAAAACTGGATCACTTTCTTACATCATATACAAGAATAAACCTAGAATGGATTAAAGGCTTACATAAGACCCAAACCATAGGCAGTAAACTTTTTAACACTGCTCTTAATTTTTTTTTTATATGCTCCTCAGGCAAGGGAAACAAAACAAATGAGTCTAAAAAGTGGTGCACAGGGAAGGAAACCATCAACAAAATGAAAAGACAGACAATGAAATGGGTGAAGATATGTATCAGTGATACATATGATAAGGGGTTAATTTCCAAAATATAAATAAGAAAAAACACCCCAAAATATCCTATTAAAAATGGTCAGAGGACCTGAAGAGACATTTCTCCAAAGACCACATACAGAAGGTCAATAGACATATGAAAACATGCTCAACATCACTAATCATTAGGGAAATGCAAATTAAAACCACAAGGAGATGTTGATTTTAGCCATTCTGACAGGTATAAAGCAATAAGTGTTGGCAAGGATATGGAGAAAATGGAACCCTGTTGCACTGTTGGAGGGATTGCAAATTAGTACAGACACCATAGAGAACAGTATGGAGGTTCCTCAAAAAAAACAATAAATAAAAATAAAAAATTGGAACTACCATATACTCCAACAATACCATAGCTGAGTATTTATCTGAAGAAATTCAAAACACTTATTTAAAAAGATAGCACCCCTATGTTCACTCCAGTATCCTCCTATCTAATAAAAGAGAAACATGGTAATTGCCGTACATCCGCTACCCTTCCCATTGGCCAATCAGGGCGATATGCAAATTAACTGCCAGCCAAGATGGCAGCCGGCAGCCAGGCAGCCTGAAGCGAACATGAGGCTTGCTTGCTTCAGTGACGGAGGACTCAAACGTTCCCCGCCTGCCGCTGCCC